GATATCTTCTAAAACTTTCTCCACATTCTTTATTATATTTGTTTTATATTTCTTACCAATGATACCACCACCTGCAGTTGCACCAGCTAGGCTATCATTTCCACTACCACTACCAAGTTCACACGGCAAATCAGCATCTCCATAGGAAACACCACCATCAATAAAATTTCCATCGTAATACCCATCCCCACCTTTGCCACCATGCCCACCACCGCCACCAAGCCCATTTGTGAAAAACTTTCCTCTACCAATCCCACCAGGGCAGCCTGTGTATAAAATAGAAATCCCTATAATCTTAGAAGGCATGGTTTAGGTAATACTTTATCGCTTCAAATCCAAGAAAACATCCAGGTTACATGTTGAGTCAAAACTGTTAAAAAGAAACTGAGAGTCCAAATGCATACCTAGGCCAGATGCACTAATTACCCCAGAAGAGTGGACCTCTACAGCTCTAACCCAGTGAAAATGTATAACAGATCCAGTTATACTGCCTTGAATAATAACATCTTCAACTCGACAGATCTGAAGCAGGAAGCCAACCATTTATCAGCAACACAAGGTGGACTCTGTTCAGCCTTCTTAAAAATTTAAATAAATTGCCAAAGAACTTAGTTCCCAATCTGGATCAATGGGAGACCTGAAGAGTGAAGGTCAATGTAGAGTTCATGTTACAATCTTCGGGTGGATGAAGTAATTCCATGGGGCAGTTTGGAAGTTCACAGTTGAGTTTGGGTTTCCTGCCAGTCCCAAAATGAGAATCACTTCCAAAGGAAAAAAATGACATCATTGAGAACTATGAATTTAAAACTTACGTCAAATTACCACCACCACTTTCCAGAGGCCCTTGCAGTGAAGATCCAGGTCCAATCTTCAGTAGTAAAAGAAGAAGATTCAGCATGTACATGCCACAAGATACAAATAGTGCACAATCATATGGTACACTTCAAAATTCACACATGAAACAAAATCAGACTGGATGGATGAGAATACGTTCACATATTTGTAAGTGGATTTGCTGATACTGTGAAAAAGCAAATCAACAAATCAATATAATTTTCCAAATTTAAGTAACAGAAAACTGTGCCAACATAATTGTCCCTCAGATGCCAACAATTCTAGGTATGTGATATTTTGGTGGATACTTTAAAACCTCTGCACCAACAATTCATAAAACCTGGTATTAACGAAATGATGAATACTTAAAAATACACACCAAATCTGCAACTTACCTTGACACTGAAAAATAGAGACAGAATCAGGTGTTGTGCTTCAATCAGATCTCCTGGCCCAGACAAATTCAAGAAACCTTGTCCGTGAACTCCCAAATTCGCATTAGAATGTATCACAGATGCCCCCTGACAATCAAATACGGAAGCATGATTTGACAGTGTAAATCAAGGTTCCATCTGTTTCCTAGGTGTACAATCAAGGTTCTAGTTTCAACATACCCTGAGAACCACTACATTGCTTGCCTCAAGCAAGGATGTTGCCACAATTGCATCAGCAAGACCATCTATAAGCATTTTAGAATTCCACATCAAGTGCATTTTGACAGACATTCGAAGAGCCCCAAATATCTGAGTTTATCAGGAAAAGACAGCAGACATTCAAGTTTTAAAATATTTCAAGATATGAGGTGTGCGTGTGTATCTGTTTTTGCACTTTCTATTTCCGCTTCCACAGCCAATTTATTTATGCCTGATTGTCAAACATTTATGAAAGGAAAGAAGGAAAGGAAAAAGGATAAGTCTTACGATTACCTTGATAACAGAATCACTCATCAGAAGCTCTTCTGCCATTAACTCAAATTCTGATGAAGCAAAATGTGCAAGACCAAAACTCAAAACTGCACCACATGATAAACGAATTTGACCTCGAACCTGCACAATACATTACAATTTCAGCATAATATGACTTCAAATAGAATATTTGTATTTTTTATTAATACTAAGACAAGAAAAGCCCTTCATCGCAAAGCAATAGAAGTTAGTTTAGTTCTTCAATGACCTGAACACGGCTCCAATACAAAGGAACCAAAGCTTGGCATGATTTTGGATATCAACATTTGTCCAAAGTGGCTGTTTGGGAAACTCTAACAGAAGCGTGTCAGTCTGTGTGGACAAGTTATGATTATTGACTATAAGTCTCCGAGGTACAGCATCATAATATGTCCCTGCAGCACCTGCATTTTCCAGACAGCCTAAACTCCTTCCCCCTGCCAGAAGAAGCAGAACATCAACATACCGGTTGTAATGTACAAAAACAAAGTAGTTCCAATGGTTCTCTCAATAAGTTCTTCCTCTACATATACCAAAGAGAAACTTAATCAAGTTATTTGCTTTGATGTACAAATTATATTACAAAATGATAACTTTTTACTTACCATGAGCAAAGATATCTGTATTATCACGCCTGCTGAAAACTTTGATGGAAACTCTTCCACCTCCTCCTCCAGCAAATCCATTACCCCCCACTGCACTTATCCTGCCACTTCCAGTCCTGCTCTTCAAGGAAAATAATTGTAGTTACGCAATGAAAGAGGTACGTAACAACCAATCAAACAAACTATTAGCCTCCATGATTGAGCATATTAATAGACATAATCGTTATTGGGTCATTGTTTCAAATTAAACACACAACAGGTAAAGTACATACATTCTACGAGCTTTGACAAATATGCTGCCCCCTGACCCTCCACCACCCTTAATCCCACCATCACCGCCATCAGCCAAAACACTCCCACTAAGTTCAATTGAACTTCTTGCCTCCAACCAAATCCTCCCACCTCCTTCCCCACCATACTTCTCATCCTTACTAGTTGTTCCACCCTTACTCCCATAACTCACCGGCTCATTTAACGATGACCATGCATACGGATCCCCACCCCAAACATCGTCCGGGAGCTTCGTATTATCAATCACACAACTAGCACCTCTCCCGCCATGCCCTCCACCAGAACCCTGAACACCGTCCGGGGTGCCACTAGTCTGCGCAGGGGGTGCACCCGCCAATGCCGTAACATTTACCACTGAGCCAGTTAAAAAGCTCGCATTCGAAGCATTAACCGTAACTAACCCGGCAATAATCATTGAATTTCTACCTAAACTGAATTCCCCACTAATGTTAACCACAATTTCGCAACCCAAAAATGGGCAGCTCAAATTAACACCGGAAAGTATAAATAAGCTCCCATTTCCTTCTATATACACATTATCTTCAAGAATCAAACTGGAATTCAGCTCACAAATGGTGTCCAGCGACCCAATTCCATTGAGACCCCCCTGACACGAGAGCGGGGGAGGGTGGGGCGGCGGCGGAACCGGCGGCGGAGAAGGAGGCGAATAGTCCCCGTGAATTTCGAACGCGACAATTGAAAATTCATCGTCGGAATCAGCGCAGAGGCTAGGGTTTATGGCGAAGCTGATGAAGAGGTTGAGGATGAAAAGGTGGAGAAGAAGGGGGGCGCTTTGAGCCATCCTGAAGAGGCCAAACTCATCACAGAGATGAAAACCCTAGCTGGAAACCGATTGCTGAGTCGAATTCTGAGTGTTGGGGATTCGGGGTTTGTGAGAATTGGACTTAGTGGTGAGATTTTTGGATCAAAGACCAGAGCTTGGACGAGAAATTGTGGGGTAAATTAGGTAAATACGTGAAAGCTTGAACCTTTTGAGAAATTTGGATTGGGTCGAAAATGGTAAGAAATCTGAGAAAATTTATGGCGTCTGTGGTGGTTTCGCTTTGACAGGGAAGAAGACGAAGAGCTGATGCCCGGTGGAAGGAGAACAGACAGAACGGAACAGAACAGAACAGAACAGAACAGAACATAACGGAACAGAACAGAACAGACGAACGTGTGCACGGCACGTGCAACCTTCTTTGTTTAATTTAAGGGGTTAATTTTTTTTTTTTTTTTTTTTTTTTCCAGTTTCTGATAAGAAATGCACGCAGAATCTATAATGACCGGTGTATCATACGTATTATTTTTATAAATAGCTAGTTTTTTTTAAATTTAATTAAAACAATTTAAGTTAGCAAATATTTGTGTATTATTTAATTTTTATATGCTAATGGAATTAATTAGTTTTGCATCACATGGTGGAGATATTTTTCAATTTGCCTGAACTACGGTGATGTTATTACACAAGTGGAGGAATTTTTTTTTAAGTGTCATTTCACTTGTATGTGCTACACTGAAAATCGCTTTTATCTGATAAGAGTTATTAGATTTGATATAATAGGTCAAATGCATATAATAAGGTCACACTTCTTTTGTTTCATGCAATATATTTTCTGTTATCATAAGCTATTATCTTGTAACGATATTATATTTTGCAATATATTCAAATGACAACTAAGTCATTCTCCGTGTTAGGTTCATCAAAAAAACTTTTAACCGTTTTTTGGTTGAGAAGGAAATTTTTTAAATGATGAATAGTAAGAATAGTTACTTTTATATTCTAATTTTTTTATGTTTGGCTTTCGGACGAGAAGGGAATCAAATTCGAGACCTCTTCTGACGTTGCAGGGTTATGATTATATTATAATACTAGTGGATCGGTCACTTTGAATATGGGATTTGAATAATAAGAACGCACGGCTTTGGCTCTTTGATCTTTTTCTTCATTACTTAACTAATCACAGCTTGATTAACAAAATTCCAAACAGTGATTTGTCCTGGTGGGGACTAATTCTCAAGAAATCTGTTGGGGTGGAGAAATATCATGCAACAGCAATATATGCGCCTCTTTTTTATCACTCATCAACTTAGTACGAGTGATGAGTGAGAAAGAGATAGAATACCCTCGGGGGTACCATGCAGTTGAAGAAATGAGACATGAGCGCTGACCATTTTTCTGAAATGTGCTATGGATGGATGTAAATTAACTTTGGGCATAGATAGTAGCGGATTCAGAATTTTTTCGAGCAAACCTATAAAGGTTGAGAAAGAAGAATAATTGGAAGCATTTGGAATAATTACTGAAATGAAAGATATGCTGAAATTCGTTTTTCTTTATTTATGTTTGAATTTGGTGCAGCAGCACAACAAGAATACATTTGTTAAATGTTCCAAACATGAAATACAACTCAACAGCCTCTTTTCTTAACCAAACACTATGTACATCACTGGACAGATGAAGTCTTGAAGCAGAACAGAAAGGTGCAATTCTCCTTAATATATCAATTGTGTCGAAAACCTGAACGGATCACCATCTGAGCTTTGCTGGGAAATACTGCAAAAAAGAATTCACATCCAAATCAGAATATGAGTTGGTGAATGATCGAAAAATTTGGAATGTGCTCGGTGAACAGTACTCACCTTCTCAATGAGGGACAAATAATATGGCTTAACTTTTTCGACATCAACTCGAACTTTGCTCTTGCTGTAGAGGTCATATTTGCTGCAAATGATAACAAAAAAGGCACAAATAAGGTCAGTTTGGTCCATGCAATTTGGCAATCACAAGATATATATATATATATATATGTATGTATTATGTATATGTTGAATTAGAAATGGAGCTTACTTGAATACTTGAAGCCACTTTAGATTCTCTTCGTCCTCTTTGTTCATAAGGTGTGTATATGCCTCTGCACTATGTAAAGCTGCAACATAATAAATTGGAAGCTTAATATTTGTCACAATGGATGGAGTAATTTCAAGTCCGGGGGAATTTGGTGATGTACTTACGATAAAATGAGTGATACCGGATGATGAACAATCCTGCCTGAGGCAAAGTTGTTCCGTTTTCCTTGGCCACCTGCAGATTGATTTGAACATACAGGTTAACAAAATCAGGGTTTAATGATAGAAATGTCCAAAATTGTTCATTTGAAGCGATTTAGCGAAAGACGTACCAAGTACATGTAGTCATCATGACCCCATGAGATCATGACATTGTCTAGTCCACATCCTTTTGAGTAAATCCCATTTTTGGTGTTGTAGGAAGGATTGTTGCAATCTGGATTTTCCTTGAAATACTGCAAGGGCAAGAATTTTTATGTAACTTTATTGATTTAAGATGTTTACTTAGTGCAACTAATTAATCTTTGAGAGTAAATTATACCTTGTGGTGAACAATGGATTCATCGAAAGCGCACCCGAGAGGATGTGTGTCTCCTGCAGCATAACATTTGGGTTATTTTTCATTAAATAGCTCAAAAATGGAAAAGGTGTATCACATATCAATAGGCAAAACATAATGCTCACCAACGACAGCCCATTGAGGAAGCTGTCCAAAGCTAGGAAGAAGAAGCACTTTTCCGAGATCTGAAACCAATACAAGCTGAAGTCAAATGCAAGAAGAAGCACTTTATCAAATCCTAGAAGAATATGGTAAACTCTAATGAAAAAAGTCAGAAGCAGTTGTGGAATTCTATTTCTATCTATAAACAATTATATAGGAGTCCATCTACAGTGCGGTTAACTGCACTTTTAAAAATGTGTAATTAGATTTAAAATCAGAATAAAGAATTTCAATTGCGAATATACCATGAATAAGAGCAGTCAAGTGCAACCAATCTTCATTGGGATAGTCTTTTCTAATGGCTTCAGCAGTTTGCAGCAAGTGCTCAATTTGTGGTTCATCCAAGTCCGGATCACTGTCATCCACAACATCATTGAGCAGCTCACAACATTCCCATATGCTCATTTCGACTCGATTCAACTTGCTGTACTCCTCCCTCATCCTCTTCACGAAATCATGCGTTTGATTAATGTGGTTCAACCGGTAGAATTCCTCCACAGATTTCTGCCTTTCGCTTTCTGCATTATAATCCCTGCATTGCATAATTTGCATTTGTGCATAAACATATGTCAGACTTCGATATTTCATAAGAACCACATGAAAAATGTGACAAAAAATTAAGAAAATAATATTACAGACCTGAACGACTGGCCAAATGAATTGATTTCAAGTGCAATGAAAGCCTCATTAGATCCTGTAATTTCTTGTGCCACAATTCCATCATTTTTTGAGATCTCTTTGGGCACCACAAACCCACCATCCAATACCAAATCATTCATTTCTCCATTGTTCTCTGAAGAAATAATCTTCTTTTCCTCCACTTGTAACCCTAATCAGCAAATTAAGATCATAATTAATTAACTAATCATAAACAAGGAACAAAGGGAAAGGGTTTGTAGCTCGCTTGGTTCAGAACATTCGCCCAAGCATCCGAAGTTCTGTGTTCGATCGAAGAAAAAACAGATCAAAGCAAAGGGTAGAGGGTTTACCAATCTCAGGCTGCTCAATGAGGATAGTCATCTTTGCCTCCGCAAAATCGAGCAATTAAAATATGGCTCGATCGAGGCAAACAAGAATCCAAAAGCAGAGAAGAAAGCAAATTGGTTGTGTGGTACGATACGTTGCAAAAGTGGTTTCTTATAGTTTAACCTAAAAATGTCCTTGCATGAAATCTGGAAGCAAGGGAGTCCTCAACTGAAAAAACGACCTGTTGAAATTCCTATTTTATCCAACTAAATTTAAAAAATACTGTGCTTGCATGAAAATTTAGGAAGCGTGGGAGTCCTCAACTGAAATTATAATCCCACTAGTCCGAAAGAAACGTTCAAATTTCCATTGTATCTTTGCCCACATTTAGAAAAATAAAATGATTGGATTTTAAGTTAAATAAGACTCAGAGTCGGCTATTACGTGGATATCATTATCTAGAGTTCTTGCTTGGATCTACTGACTTGAATCTAGTCATGGCCAAGTAATGCACGTTGGAATTTTTGGATCGCTAGGCCCGTTTCATTCTAATAACACCAATACTGTTTTCAACTTTACCACATGCCCAATCCGTCAGGTAGGATTGTATTAGTTAGAGGGTGGTAATACTATTTAAACCTCTTGGTTTCTTTTCACCCCACCGATATGGGACTTTAACACGCCCCATCACGTGTAACCTCATTTAGTGGTTCACACGTGGAGATCCACATCGGTAATTGAAACTCAGAGGTCGTCTCACGTTGGGCCCACTTGTTTTCAATTGGAACTCAACGGTCGTCTTTATATTAAGAGCTCAGACTTGTTTCCTTCCTGGTGGTGACAAGCTCGTTGGCTTGCACGAGCCCGCAACCATGGGCTCTGATAACATGTTGGAATTTTTGGATCATCAGGTCATCCCACTCTAACGACACCGATACTGTTTTCAACTTTATCACCTAACCAATCCGTCAGGTGTGAAATTTTACCATAAAAAGTTTCGGTATTAGTTAGAGTGGGGTAATACCATTTAAACCCCTTGGTTTCTTTTCACCCCACCGATGTGAGACTTTAACAATGCATGCAAACTGTTATTATTAATTCGGTTCTTAACAGTCAGAAGAAAATTTTGGATCGCTATTTGAAATTGTATCAATTTCTTCGCATTGTATCTTGAATTTCTAATTCGGTTTTGAACTATCTTGAAATTTCACCGGCTATCGTCGAATGTGTTACATTTTTTGTTAAATTTATCATGTCGTGACGCACATAGTACGCTTATAAGGGACATTTGATCAATCATGATTAATTAATATGCAAAAAACATGTCTAACTTATGGAAAGGGGGTTTTGATTTTTATCAGTAAGTGGAGTCCTCTATCAAATTATTTTTATTACGAGGGGTAAAATTGATAACTTAAATTTTTTTCAATTAATAAATTCCCTTTTGTATCTTAAAATAATAGTCACTGTTGAGGATTAAATTAAGGGTCTCATACGTGCATAACGTCCACATAACAGAAACTCTAACACATTTGACTGCCGAAGGCGAATCGTTGAGTGGAGGTGAAAACCAAACTAAAAATTCGTGGTGAATTAATGTGGAACAATTCCAAAAGTTCATCAGACATTGCTAAACAATAGTAAAAGCTTAGGTTTTGATCCTTCTTATATATTTTTCATTTAAATATTGACTAACATGGCAGTGGTAATCAGAATCCACGGCCAGGACTGAATATTGGACGCCGACAACAACAGTAATCTTGCTGAGAACATCTACCTGCAACTTGTCTTCTTGTTGTCATGCAGATGCTATATATTCTTTATAATACACAGCTCGGCTATATATATATTCTTAGAGGATTCGCGGTAGATAATTATCCTGGCATAGATTAATACCATTGCCGGCTATGATTTACATTTAATTATAGTCAATATTCTCTTATCAAACTGCATGACGCGACATATGAATGATCATCTTATAAGATTGTAAACGTCATTGCTTCATGGTTGATACTTGTTAGAATATACAATAAGTTAGTCTTCTACACCAATCTCTTATTAATTAAGAATATTTATCTGATATTGCAATTCTAACAAGAGGACATTATCAGTAAAAATATATGATGTTTTAAAAAGATCATACATAATCTTGTTAAGAATATTTATCTAGCACTGTAATTCTAACTAGAGAAAATTATTCGTAAAAATATATGATGTTTTAAAATAATAACATTATTTGTAACTGCAACACTGTCACGGATTATAATTATCGACCCGCTCATGTTATACGATATCTCGACGAGAGAGATTCATATACTTCATACAAGTTTTCATGAACCCACTCCTTTCGCATGATCTTCCCATTTCGATGATTCACCATTTCGTCAAGCTCAAGCTGACAAAAGCACTAGTTATAGAACATTTCATGAATATATATTAGGGTGATATTATTCACACATCTTTTTATACTTTTCACACGTTCTCTATTAAATTTTTTTAACTTCATCAATTCACGTTCAAAAATTGATAAAAAAAATAACTGTGTGGAAGTTAAAAGGAAGTGTGTAAATAGCATCACCACACACACACACCCGTTGATAAAAGTCATGAAAACAAAATACATCTTTAAAAAAAAAAAAAATGAATTTTTCAGTAAAAGACCAAAGGAAAACTGGTCTAAATATAAACGAAAAATAAAATGTTGGAGGTGTCAAAAATTTAGTGAAAAATCTACTGATAAACGAAAAACTAGTATAATTCTTTCTTTCGTGGACCATAACTTAGCCTAACGTTACAACTCTTGTAAAAACCGTTTGATCCTTGATGTTGCATTCATTTACATTAGTGGAGATATGATATGCAGAGCAAGCCTATGGGTTACATTCATTATCTTGAGATCACTCATATCATACTTGTTTGCATGTAACTATCTGAAGTCCAAGTGTTGTACTAATCATTGGCTAATCATATAACCAAAGAAAAGGCATATGACGCTAATTATATAAACACAAAAAAACTTTAATCAAAATTATAATTAATACGACTAATCGCATTAATTTCAGCCATATACCATAAGAATGTTTTTGTAAGGTGTTGTTAACCTTTGAATGGGTCTCATCATCTTCCTCTCATGCTAATTCGTAGTTGAAACTGTGGCACCCAGTTTGGGATGCGAATGTTCTACCAAAAGTAAAGGTGTGCATTTGGAGACTCTGCAACAACTTCGAGCCTACCAGAGCTATTCTAGCTAGGCGTCATATCGACACACTGACGAATGTTGTGTGATGTGTAACTCCCATGGTGAAACGGTTATACATTTATTGAAAGAGTGTCCATACGCTAAGGGTGCATGACTTGCATCACACTTGGGTATTCTTTCGAGGGATGCTCACCCAAACTCTTTCTTAATATGGATCGGAGAGATTGCTGATTTGATCCCTGCAGACAAATTTGATTCTTTCCTAATGATTTGTTGGCCATGAACAACTATGGGAAGAAAAACACGATTCACCTAATACTTGTGTGGCCAGGGCAGTACTCCGGTGGCATGAGTATGATAACACTAAGGCCAATGCATTCTCGGGAACCAGAGCCCGACATGAAGGGATTCCCAAATGGTCAGCACCGCCTAGTGGAAGACTTAAGATGAATGTTGATGGATCGTGGAATGGGGAGAAAAAATTGTTGTCAGAGAGGGCTTGGTTTGGGCAGTAAACGGGGTTTTCTAAACTTCCATTATGAAAGCGATTCGATTCAGATTGTGGAATCGTCAAGAGATCATTCTACTAACTTATCCAATATTGGGCAAATAGTAGAGGATATAAAGGTGTTACTCCTTACAATCACTGAGGCTACTATTACCCATACTCGCTGCCAAGCTAGTGTTATTGCCCATGGGCTTGCACGTTTTGGTTTGTCCTTGAGTCAAGTTTGTGATTGGTGCGACTCTCCTCCAAGTTTAATCGTACATTTACTTGTCGAGGAAAGTTTGTCGCCTTGAATGGCTCTTTGTAATGGATCTTTTGTAATGGTTTCACTCAAGGAATATACTATAGTTTCCTTCAAAAAAAAAAAAAAAAAGAGAATCCTTACAATGTTTATCTATTTTTTTGAGCTGCAGTTTCAATTCAATCTTTCAGGAATCTATATGGAAAGTCTTAACCACTTTAATCTTGAGTCTTTTCTATGTTTGCTTGAGGACAAGCAAAGACCAAGGCGGATGTAGTCAAGCTATGATTTTATAGGATTTTAATAGACTTTAAAATCAAGGTGTATTCAATTAGGACTTTAAAAGAGGATTTTACAAGACTTTGAAATCATGGTGTAGTCAAAATAGGATTTTAAAGGATTTTAAAAATATAGTAGTCAATTAAAATTTTAAAAATGTCCACACATGTTAGGTGTAGTGAAAATGCTAAGGATTTGCTAGGATTTAGTTCGGATATTTGATTGAACAGTTATTCCTTACAGTTTACACATTTTTTATTTGGATTCTTGTGATTGTTTTTACTGAATTCAGTTCTATTTTACTTAGTTTTGTGTTCTTCTTAGGTATGAGAAGTAAAGATAAAGAAACAAGAAAAATGAGAGATTTGGTGATTAAAACGAGTTTTGCGTCCTCGAAGCAGAAACTGTCCTGTGCAGACCAGCCAACTTGACGGAATAAACTGTACTTTCTAAAAAGGAACTAGCTGTTGAGCTTATATCATTGGAAAGATATGGAAGTTAGCTTTCAGTGGAATATTACGGATCATGCTTTTGAGTTTTCTAGGTGATGTTATGAAGATTTTCGTACAAAACATCAATCAGCCAAGTCTATACAGAAATCGCAATGTTGGGTTTTTTAGGTCATATTCAATTGAAGCCCAAAGCCCAAAAGAGGACGTACAGTCAAAAGGGTTTGAAGTAATTTAACTTCGAAATTTACTTGCCGCATCATCAGCTGTGCAGTGAGGAAAGGATTGCAAAGACCTAATTAGAAGAGGATTTTGACCACAACCAAAAAAGAGGTGAAACAGCAGCCATTGTTATATCCTCTTGCATCGTTCATAAGTTTTTCATGTTTTCTATACTTTTCGTATTCTATGAATAACTAAGCTCTTTTTTAGGGCTAGGATGATGGCCTAGCATGAATATTTATGCTTTTTAATGATT